ACGAAACTGCAAAGCGGCGGTATAATTCGATCAGACATCGACCGCCGCGTCGCCCGTGGATCGTCCCCTCGAGCAACTACGATCGGCACTTACGGCGAATATCGGGGTCGGTTTTAAGCGCGTAAAGGGCTCGGAGCGAACCGCACGAAATGACGGCGACTACTCGGGGATACCCGATCTTTCGCGGATGCCACAAGACACCGGAGATCCGCCGTTCTCCCGGCTGGAGACCATCTCGAGCGAGACGCGCGCACGAATCTTCAAGCCCACCTCGAGGAGGTCCGCGAACAGCTGTCGGCACAACAATCGCACGACGATCACCGGCGGGGGCTGTCCAGTGACGACGGATCACCGAGTTTCAGGTGTCACGATCTTCGGTCTCTCGCCGTCCTCCCGTGGATGCGGATTGCCAGGCGTTATCCGCGGGCACGAGATCGTCGATCCCTAGCGGATCTACCGCGAGACCGCGAGCGACGTCGGTGGGGGATCGGCAGATAACAGTCGCCGATAGCGATCGATCTCTCGCCGATCTCACGGCGATCACGACGTGGGGCCCGCGCACTTTGGTCGTCGTCGTCCGGTCGAGATTGGGACCGGAACCGGCAGCGGGAGACCGAGACCGGTATTCTCTCTCACGCACGTGTCACGCGACCCCCGACAACGAAAGTCACTAGGAGACCGGTAGCGACCCCCGCCTGGCGAGTAGCACGGAGGGTGTTAGAGAGAGGACGTCGGGACGACAGACGACGTGGCGGGAGGATTCGACGACGCGGTGGTGGGGTGCTGGGGTGCGACGGGGGAGGAAGAAGACTCGGCGCGAAGGGGGTGGAAGGCAACTGGGCGAAGGGTGAGAAGGGGTGGTGGAGAACGGAGAGCCTCGGCAAGGAGGCGAGGGCCGCCGGTCCCCACCGCGCGCCGCCGCCACATCCGCGGATTAAAAGCCGAGTGCCTCCCCTATTCGCGCCCTCCCCCTCCTCCCCCTCCCGCTTATCCGCGCGGGATGCTGCGCAGTCTCCGGAACGCTGACACAGTGCGCTACAGACACAGAAATACGCGCCTCTCGGCCCCGATACGAGCCGATAACGCTCCTCGGCGCGCCGCGCGTGGCGCGTCGCGATGCGAGGAAGATGCGACGAGATAAAATAGAAATCGGTGAAAATGTAACGATCCGGAAAAGCGAGCGCGGTACAGTAAACTGTATACCTGACTTCATCGATTTACATAATTATGGCATTGTTCGATCTCTCGTGCCAATTTTTGTAGCGATCAATTCATTGTTATTGTGACAATAAGTGTGTGAGGGTGAGGACCAGTTTGATCATTTTCTGGTTAATTGTTAACCAGACAATTTTTTTTTAGTTAGACAATTCTCTGTCTCTTCTTAAGTAATAACGTAGAAAAAGATGGAGAGTCGACTGACTTCTGGTTAACAGTTCACCAGAAAATGAAAAACCGAGCCTTAAGGTTGCTTACGTCGACCTGACAAATTTTCGGAAATTCATCGAGATCTAACGAGATTTAAGCGCGCAGCTGTTTTTCAGAAAGAGAATCAATACAAACGTGTAATTACTTTAAATGTGTATGAAAAGGAGAAGGGCGAGGGCGCGTGACTGAGTTAAACCGATGATTAAAATGAACTTTTTAACGACCAACCATTTCCGGAGGGCGGGGGGGGGGGGCAAAGAAGTTTTACAAATAAATCAATTTTTGCAGCTTTCTCGTCATTTTTTAATTAACACCCTCGCCACTAAATTATTATCTACTTAATTATTCCCGGCAAACACCAATAGTTACATAACGTATTGTAACTTCCCACTAAACAATATAAATGTAACGTAACTCATATTATAGATAACGTCTCATTTCCGGGGGGCAAAGAAGTTTTACAAATAAATCAATTTTTGCAGCTTTCTCGGCAAATTTTTAATTAACACCCTCGTGACTAAATTATCATCCACTTAATTACTCCCGGCAAACACCAACCAGTAGTTACATAACGTACTGTAACTTCCCACTGAACAATAGAAATGTAACGTAATTCATATTGTAGATAACTCATATTATAGATAACGTCTCATTTCCGGGGGACAAAGAAGTTTTACAAATAAATCAATTTTTGCAGCTTTCTCGTCAATTTTTAATTAACACCCTCGTGACTAAATTATTATCTACTTAATTACTCCCAGCAAACACCAACCAGTAGTTACGTAACGTATTATAACTTCCCACTGAATAATATAAATGTAACGTAATTCATACTATAGATAACTCATAGATAACGTCTCATTTCCGAGGGGCAAAGAAGTTTTACAAATAAATTATATTTTGCAATCCTCTCGTCACTTTTTAATTAACACCCTCGTGACTAAATTATTATCTACTTAATTAACATATTATAACGTCTCACTGGACAATATAAATGAAACGTAACTCATATTATAGATAACAGTTATGTTGATGTTATTGAACTGTTAAAGGTGGCGTTTGTCGGACTTTTTATTAAACCGAGCGCTTTGGGGGAGTGAAAATAGTTTCCAGATTAATAGCGGCCTTCATACCGTCATTATGAGTCCCGGCGAGATGCACGAGATTCGAAAACAGTAACTCTCGCTTGTCTAACAATCGCCGCTGCGTTTCCGAATTAGGCTTCGTTAACTATTATCTATAATGTTGCACGTTACGTAAACTCTATAGATTTTCAGTACTGGAAGTTGTAGATAACAGTTAACGAGACCTGATTCGGAAAGCAGCCTGAGTGCCCGTGGCGCGATAAATTATTGAGCCCGTTCTTTTCAGTTCAGCTCGCTGGTTTATCTTTCTTTTTCCAACGTGGAGAAACTCTGAACTGGTGCAGCCAATTCGACCAAAAAGACCGGACCGATAGAAAAAAGAAGATGCGTGCACTTACCTGGCGATATCCCCGCACTCATCCTTGGCTCATCCGCAGGTCTTTGCGTCCTTGGCGACGTCTCGGCGAGGAAATAGCCGACGAGTACGTTCCCGGCCGATTCCATGCGCGTGGGACACCACGATCGCTGCAATCACAAGATTAACATGTAACGGCGATCGACACGCGACACACATTTACCGCACTAGGCGTATCGGCGATTCGCGATCCGCCCGCGACTTATAGGCCCGGTTTTCATTTTCTGGTTAATTGTTAACCAAAGGTTATACTGGACTCTCTGTCCCTTTTCAGATAATACCATAGAAAAAGACGAGAGAGTCGACTAACTTCTGGTTAACAGTTAACCAGAAAACGAAAAACCGGCCGATAATGTGCGTATGCTATAGATTTTTAGTGCCGGCAAGACATTTTGAGACAGCTTTAATTTTTTATAGTAATGATGCGTTCCAAAATATATTAAAACGTTTCTGATATACCATATAATACCAAAAGTATTATATATTTTTAATTACTTATATTATTATTAAAATAATTTAATAGAATTAATAGAATTAAAATAAAAGATTAAGTTGTAACGTAGCACCTACGGTTGCAATATATAGTGTTACCTACGAGATTATCACGGATTTTTTTGTATACTATTATCTATTCTTTTATATTTTAAACTATTATCACGGAAAAACCAGCCATTCTCCATGGCGATATACGAAAGTGAATTGTTAAATATGTAGCACGCGGTCTAAATGTGACCCGATACGTGGACAAACTTTTGTATCAAGGCATTAACGATCCCGGGCTCTGTGTACCAGACATGCCGAGGCAGCGCGCTAACCGTATTAGCTAATTTCACCCTCTAATTAGGTCTATTCACTTCAATTGCATTATACGAAGAGTGTTTTACCCTTCGCGAGAGAAAGAGCGAAGGAAGAGGCACGAAAAAGTGCGGCCGAGGACCGGTTTCTGCGGCGTCGCTTAACCTTAACTTTAGGTTAACTCGGTGCCCGTCTCTTGTCGAGGAAACAGAAGACAACGAGGTTAAATTAAGGTAAGAGATGAGCGAAGTTGAAGAAATCGAAGAAAAATTTTCTCATTGCACCGTCGGCTACGTCCCGACATCTGACGGCGACGTGTCGTAGAACAGGCCTCGCATAAAATATGCCGCATGCCGCTGTCAGATGTAGAGACGCAGTTAAGGTTACGGAAAAGGTTGCATTCCCCGACTACTGCTGACAGGTTAAATCTAAACTATCGTACGCGTGAGAAACGATCCACTCGAGCGGAGGTCGAAGCCGGACGACGAGGACGCCACGCGGAATTCTGTAAAACTCAATACACTACCTTGCGAAGGAAGATCCTATAACGAGAGAAATGTTGAAAAAATAAGCAGGAAGGATGTGCCGGGAAGGAGAAGAAACATCTCTTTGCAAGTAGCTTTCAGCTAGCCACGTTTCGCGCCAAGAACCTTCATTGCAGGCCTTGGGATTCGGAGGACCTCGGGCGAGATCCCGGTCGAGTTCCCCGCGCGATCTTCATCCACCGGTGCATCTTCGTCCATCGGCGGCCGCTCCCGACTGAACCGAGCAGCTCCCGTGCGTGCTCCTTATATACCCCGGCTCCCCACCAGGGAGCCGCCAGCCAATCAGCGCGGCGTGGCTCCCGTGCTTGCCGTCGATATTCCCGGGTCCCCACCACCAGGGCGCCAGCCAATCAACGCGGCCCGCCGCCGCGCGGCTCTCGAGCGCGACGTTAATATACCCCGGCTCCCCACCACGGGGGCGCCAGCCAATGACGCGCGCGCTGCTGTGATTGGCCGGCGCCAGGTATCGGCTGGGAGTATAAAAGACGGCGCACGCGAGCCTCGCCGTAGACGGCAGCGGCAGCCCGGCGGTGGAGGACCAGCAGCGGAGGACCAGCCTGGACATGTTCGGACCAGCTCTCCCAACGGACTTCGCTGGATCTACGGTGGCCGGTTATGGGGGCAAGGTGGAGGGCGCTCTCCGGTTAGTTCGCCGAGATGCTCGGCTAATCTGAGCTTTCCACCTTACCCCCACCACCGGCCACCGTAGATCCAGCGATTCGCTGGCAGCGAATTCCATTGGGGAGAACAGGTCCGAACACTCCGAACAGGTTCAAGCGGTGCGTCCCCCGGACTTTATTCGCCTCTTACGACACGGAAGGCTAGCCGGGATGGTCTATTCGTCGGCGGATCGACACGCCACAAAAACAGAAATGTACATACGCGTATATATTTGATGACGATTATGTTCGACGCTTTCGACGTAGGTGGAACGAATAATGTCTTGGGCGATCTCGAGCGCGCGGAAGCGGTTCATCGGCAGCAGATTCTCGGTGACGATTGTATTTTATGTCAAGTGTCGAGGCTTTTGAGGCGGCGCAGACCAATCGCCGCGATTTCTTGACAAGGGCCGAGACAAAGCGCGAGTTTCAACGATTTAAAATATTAAAGCGGAATGTAACTGCAAATTCTGAAACGAAAAGTCAAAAACTTATTCCCAAAGCAACTCCTATTAATTTAATCGGCAGAATTGCGTAAAGCGGAGCTTTTAGATTGTCGTGCCTGATCTTGTCTTTCCTCCGCGCAAAAATTAATAATTCTATTCACGATAGTAAATTAACAGTTGCATAATTAAATATAATGTCCTGCTCAACAATGTAAATGATGCTCGGTGTTCACTGGGCCTGGGTCACTCTTGTTTAACCTAGAGACCCTGCAATCAGAGGCTGGCCATAAGAGTTCGTCAAATTCCTGCGAGTGAGAGAGAAACATACGCTATCTCACTCTTCTACGATCGTAGGGTCTCTAACCTAGGGCGTGACATTTGCCGGGAGGGCGCCAGTTCTCGGAGGTAAAGGAATCCGACGAATAAAACCCGTCATCTGCTGCAGCTATCATGCGTCGTCTATTTGCGTGCAGTAAGCCTGAAGTAAAGACAAATCAATTTGATTTCTTATTCCTACTTGAGGCTCTTACGTTCACTCTCGGCGAATCTGAACGTCATCGGCTAGTGTTGCAAGTGTTTAAAAAAATGCCTGTATTTTAGCTTTCTTACATTGAAAGTCAAAGGATAATGGTTCTTTCTTAGTCCTTGCGCCAGGCTTACTCCACGCATTGTAGACCACGCGTTAAAGCGATCTCGCGTACGATGTTGCGCTCGGCCGACATTGCATTGTAAAATTTCACGATCCAGGCGCGTCAATCATGTCGTATCTAAACGGAGGTCGACTGAACGTCGGGCTTGTTCAGGAGCAGGCGAGGAAGCGGTTGCTGTGCCTGCTGGAGAAATGCGACGGCCCGAAGGTACTCCGAACCTAACCTAACCTCCTCCCCTCGGGGGAGCCGAAACGTCAATTACAAATTCGCACGTTTTACGATATCGCGTTTACATCTTTTCGTTTTTCCGTCGCGCAGGCTATCATATGGGACCAGTCGCTGGCCGGGCCGATCGGCCTTGTCGCCAAGTACAATCTGCTGGAGGAGTACGGCGTCGTCAAGATGTATCCGCTGTACGGCGGGACTTTGACGATACCGCCTAACATCACCAATGTCATATTCATCTCGAGACCGCAGTTAGAGCTCATGGACCTGATCGCCGAGAATGTCCACGGGTAGATACGCAGCGGATATTTTATAGGATGTAATGCAATTTTGAGATATTTGATATTCGACGATACCACTACTTAAGCCCGTTGCAGACGATGCTGTTTTACCTGCTGGATTGCTTGCAATCTAATAAATTTCCATCATTGCACCACTCAGTACTCGGGATTTCAAGTAATTTACTAAATCGCAAGCGATCCAGCAGGAAAAATAGCATCGTCAGCAGCGGGCTTTAACTCTGATAGTGAGCTCCAGAATGCACCGTTACACAGGGATCCAAAGGAGCACCGCGTGCAAATTGTGTATTGATGCGCGACGACACTGCTATTTTTAATTTTTGTTACGATACAAACGTAAATTGTCATGTATTTTTGAAAATATGTGTTTGCACGCGTTTACCACGCTAACATATGTATTTGTGTGCTGCAGAGAAGAGGGCAAGAGGCCGCGCAAGGAGTTTCACCTGTTCTTCGTGCCGCGCAAGAGCCTGCTCTGTCAAAAGAAGCTCCAGAATCGCGGTGTCTTCGGCAGCTTCACGCTGATAGAGGAATTCAAGTGCGATCTCTTCCCGTTCGACAATGACTTGCTGTCGATGGAGCTGAGCGGATCCTTCAAGGAGTTCCACCTGGAGAACGACCCCACCTGTCTGTACCAGGTCGCGCAGGCCATACAAGGCTTGCAAAGATTGTACGGCAAGATCTCGAAGGTGACGGGCAGGGGACCGGCCGCCAGCAAGGTTTGGGAGCTGCTGGAGAGGCTGAATAGAGAGGAGGAAGATAGCAAGTCGCTCCCGGCCTCGGGCTCCGTTGCCATCGAACACCTGTTATTATTGGATCGATCCGTAGATTTGCTCTCGCCCTTGGTTACGCAGTTGACGTACGAAGGCTTGATCGACGAGATATACGGAATAAAGTACAGTGAAGTATCGGTCTCGTGTATTTTCTGCATTTTGAAATTTACAGTTTTCAAATGTACTTTTAATCTGTACACGTTTTGTACGTGGAGCAGTGACAGAGATATCTTTTCTTTTCCCCATTTTAGATACTGTGCAATTACCTGCGAGAAAATTCCACGATTCCGACGACTCTCCCACGGCGATGTCACTGAACGAAAAGGAACAGATCATATTAAATTCGGGAGAAGAGCTTTTCGCTGAGATCAGGTGTGTCATTGTGCCGAGCTTTTTCCTGGCAGTTTTTTTTTTGTATATTTTAAATTTTACTCTTGCAGAGACAAAAATTTCAACGGCGTCGGCCCGGTCCTTAGTAAAAAAGCTAAGGTGATTTCGTCCCAGTTCGACGAAAGACACGGGGACAAGAGCGTGCAAGAGATTAAACAGTTTGTCGCGAGATTACCACATATGCTAGCGACCAAGCAGTCTTTAGCGAGGCGTAAGTAATAAACGCGCGTATATGGTTTTACGCTCCGATTCTTCTGCGACATTTATTCGTTTCATTCTGCTTTAATAATTTATCGTAATCTCGTTAATTAGACACCACAATCGCCGAGATGATAAAGGAGGTAACCGACTCGAGCAACTTCTTAGAATCGTTGCAAGTCGAGCAAGAGCTGATAAACTGCATCGACACAGACAAGCCGAATGCATACATCGAGGATATGATAGCACAGCAGCAACCGTTGCTCAAAGTTCTACGCCTCCTTTGCATACAATCGCTGACCAACTCCGGTTTAAAGCCGAAGCTACTAGATTACTACAAGAGAGAGATAATTCACACTTATGGATTCCAACACTTGCCGACTATATTAAATCTGGAAAAGGCTGGATTGTTAAAGCAACAGCAGTCGGTGCGACAGTATGCAGTTTTGCGGAAAGCATTGAGGCTCACTGTCGAGGACGAGAGCGAAATTACGCCGAAAGATATCAGTTACGTGCATTCCATCTATGCGCCGCTGAGCGTGAGACTGGCGGAGCAATTGGTGCAGCTGAACGGGTGGCAGGGGTTGAACGACGTGATGGGGTTGTTGCCAGGCCCTACCGTAAGCAGCGTCCCGTACAATGTATCCTCGTCAGCCAGACGTGAGTCGAGTTTTAATCTTGGCTTATTTGCAGCTCGTTCTAAACGTATATTTACTTTTAACAAGACGCAAATATTTGATTTCAGGAAATTCTATTACCAGCGAAGATTCGAGCTCGGAACCGCCAAAACTGGTTCTAGTATTCTTCATCGGGGGTTGCACTTTCGCCGAGATATCGGCTCTCCGGTTTCTATCGCAGCAAGAAGACCGTAAGCATCGCCGATAGATTACGAATTTATATAATAAAAATGCAATGCAAACGTCACGCAAATTTTTGTTCTCAGTGAACGTCGAGTTCGTCGTGGGAACTACTAGGTTGATCAACGGCGACACGTTTCTCACTTCCTTGATGGAGGATCTGGAGCGTGCGTGAGACGAGACCGTCTTAAACTGAACTAAATCGAAATAGATTATTTAATATTTCTTTGTGATAAAGAAAGACTGTAAATATGTATTCCTTCTTTATTATTATTTTATACATACGTACATATATTCTCCCGATTATGTACAATATACTCTCTCACGTCTGAGTGCTGTAAAAATATTTTATTTCGACTGTCTTGGTAAGAAATCGCCCTGTAAGAAATTTTACTCGTTTCTCCTGAGCAGGAAATTATTTCAACGTGATTGTCTTTATAATTTTGATCGCAATAGGTTTGTTTTCTGTTCCTGCACTGGTGAACTAGTGCAGTAAGCTAGAATGAGAAAAACTATGCTTGTCTTAATCCAATTTATTGGCCCCCGATTCTCGAAATCAAGAAGAAGCCATACACGAACGTTCTGCTCCGACAGAAAAGCTGAAAGTCGATTGGTTAAAGCCACGCGAGTAGCCGATCGACTTGCAACTTTTCTGTAAGAGCAGAATTTTCGCATACGTTTCTCCTTTTGGAATAAATTGAAGAATCGAGCCCCAGAAAACAAGCCTCATGTTAAAAATGCAAAACAGTTTGTTACCTTGTCGACGTGACCACGATTTTCACTTACCGCCGTACTTTTCGTAGGTCGGTAAAGCGGGGACCGGCAATCGCCGAGCTTCGGTGACCAACGGAGATGACCGCCGAGTTCGCAACGTGACCGGCGTAGAGCGCCACCGCCATCGCGAACGGACGGCTCTCGCGCCCTGTGGTGTGCCGTGTAGTGTGTGTACGGTGTATACGGTGCAAGTACGGTACGAAGCGGGACGAGCGAGATCGGACGTGAGACGCAGACGGAGGAATCCTCGCGCACGGTCCCCGTGCTCGTCCGTGGACCCGAGGTACGGCCGGTCCGCGTCGTCGCTCGCTGTCTCGCGCCTCGCTCGCTCTCTCGCGAGAGTGCTCGCGCGCGCCCGCGCACGCAAAGGAGAGAGAGAGAGGCGTGTGTGTGCGTGCGTGTACGTGTGTACGTGTGTGTAGGAGCGTGCGTGACGTGCGTATACGGCGACGACGACGACGACGGCGACGACGGCACGACGACGAGGAGGCGTGTATCATTCCGGGGCGCGGCACGCGACTCTCGCGAATCGCCAGCGGGCTCGCCCAAGGATCGCGGGCGCTTGATTATGCCCGCGGGATCGGCGGCCAGGAAAGAGAGCTGCTGCCGCTGCTCCTCCTCCTCCGCCGCCTGAAGAGAGTGCACACTCGGGAGCCTCGCGAAGGCGCATGCTTTCCCCGCCCGCTCCCTCGCCATTTTGGAGGTGAATACGATTTTCCCCGGCCCTTTTTTAGCCCGACCGTGCCCTGCCCCGGCAGCCGCAGCGGGGCTTCCATCCGCCCGCGGGTCGCTCGCGGCGCGTGAGATGTCACGCCACCCGAACGGATCAACGGACAGACGGACGGACGGACGGGACCGGCCGTCGTGACGCGCTACGACGCGAGATGCATGTTTTCGTCCCGTCGTCGTCCGTCGTCGTCGTCGTCGACGACGGCGCGACGACGAACGGGCAGCAGGGTGTGGAGGAGCGCGCGGAGGACGAGGACGGCGACGGGAAGAGGCGGGGTAGGAGCGGAGCGGCCGAGGACCCAACCCTCCTTACGCCCGCATTTCTCCACCTCCTGCGAATTCTCTCGTCGCCGTCATCGTTATCATCGTCGTCGTCGTCGCCATCGTCCGATCTGCCTGCAAATCTCTCTCCGCTTCCTCCGTCGCGAGCGGATCTCCCGACGTCGCGAGATCGCAGGATCGCGCTCTCTCGAGCCCGGAGGCGGCTCGCGTTTAAGGATACTGCCCCCTCGGCGCCGCGCGTCGATAATTCTCCGTCTCTCTCTCTCTTTCTCTCGCGCGCGCCCCGTCGAATTTTGCCTCTCGTGCCCCTCTCCCCCGTCCTCCCTTTCTCTTGCTCTCTTTATCTCCTTCTCGGTCCCGATCCGCTGCTGTCGCGCGAGAGAAACGGCCAACGGCCTCCTCGACGGCGCGCACACTAGGTGTCAGCCGCTCGAGGCCGCGGCGAGTAACGTGACTAACGCGACAACAATGACGGGAGTGCGGCGGTTCGCGTCGCTCCTGCGGGAAGAACGTGACTATTTCTGTGTCGTTTGAGCCGTTAACCGTGTCCTCTCGCCCTTCTCGCCGTCGCGGCCGCGCCGCGAAATCGCATTTAGATTCTCGCGCCTCGCCGGCCGACGTGCAAGGAAAAACGACGGCGACGAGGTCCGGACAATGGGCCGAGCGTGAACGTTTGTTTGCGCCCGCGGCCTCACGCCCGTGAGGCACGCGGAAGGCTCGCGGGAAGGTGCCCGCGGCTGCCTCCCCGAGAATTTAAAGGGAGACGTTTTCGTCGTCCGAAAGTTTCGCGAAAAAACTTGATTCCCGAAACGATTTCGAGACTCGCGGGGCGGGGGGGGAGCGGGAAGTGTATAAGTAGATCGGGAAACTGTGTTTTCGCAATAAGCTTTGGTGCGAGTTGACTGTAGCGAAACTGGGAGGCTTAATTGTAGAGATCTCTTGCGAGATGACGATTTGTGGGAAACGCTGGTGTATGAAACTTGCAGGGAGGCACAATTGAATTGTTTCGCGGCCGAATGGTGATCTGGTTAATTTGTATCATTATACGCGCCATTTGTATGACTAGAAGACTAATGACGATGCAGTAAATTAATGACAATTAATTAAAGTCGACCGTTCGCTTAGGAGTTTAATTATTTCGCTGCTGTGAAATTGTCATTCCTAATTAGCTGCGTGTGTACTGCGATTGTAAGTTGATACGATTTGCGAGTAGCGCAACGTTCCACATTGAAATCTCGGATGACGATTGTGGTGCGATTGACTTGTAGCGTTAAATTTTATCTGACTCGAGATCTAAAAGCGTGTTTCTTTTATAGATAGAATGTTAAATTTGGGAATGGACTGACAGAGGATTCAATAAGAAAAAGAACAAAACAGACGGTTCGGGCAAGGAATCTAAGGAGAACGGGGCAAGGTGTCTGGACTAGGCCTCGGGCATCAAATTATCAACAACTCGACTATGCCAGCTGTTGCAAGGCCTGGTAGTTTAAAGGACCCAGAGATTGCCGAGTTATTTGAGAAAAATGATCCGGAGAAAATATTTGAGGATCTGCGCGAGATCGGGCATGGTAGTTTCGGGGCTGTTTACTATGCGCGATGCCTGGTTACCAAAGAAATTGTTGCCATCAAGAAGATGTCTTACCTGGGGAAGCAGACGGTGGAGAAGTGGCAGGACATTTTGAAGGAGATTCGATTTCTTAGGCAACTTAATCATCCTAACACTATAGAGTATAAGGGCTGCTATCTCAGGGACCACACTGCCTGGGTATGTGCGACACGTCGAGTTTTTATACCTTTTCTCGGCCCGCTTGCCGATGAACCCTACGAAATGAAGCACTCCCTCCCCGAACGATATTAAAACCGTTGCGCGTCGTTTTGCAGTTGGTGATGGAATATTGTCTCGGCTCCGCATCGGATATTATCGAAGTGCACAAGCGACCGCTGAAGGAGGAAGAGATAGCTGCGATATGCGAGGGTGTGCTGCGCGGCCTGCACTACCTTCACTCCCTTGGGAGGATCCATCGCGATGTGAAAGCTGGAAATATCCTACTTACCGAGAACGGTACAGTCAAATTAGCCGATTTCGGATCCGCGAGTATAAAATGTCCGGCCAATAGCTTCGTAGGGACCCCGTACTGGATGGCGCCAGAAGTTATATTGGCGATGGACGAGGGGCAATATGATGGCAAGGTTGACGTATGGTCATTAGGAATAACTTGCATCGAATTAGGTACATGTACTTAGTGTATTTACGTATAGAAATATTACGTACCGTCGATATTTTTCTTGGATATCAATGATTTAAAGAAACTTGTGTTAAAATGTTCACGATCGCTCGGAATCTAAATTTGTCATCATTTCTTTTGTGTCAAAGTGACAAGATAGCCGAGATATTGCAAGACACTGATCCAATTTCTTCAATATTCTGTAATTCGACCAATAATTTAACTTTTCTACTTTATCAAAGAGAGAGTTTTGCAATATTTTACTTTGAACACCAAACTTACATTACTTATGTTGTTGATTATAGCGGAAAGGAAGCCACCTTATTTTAATATGAATGCAATGAGCGCCTTGTATCATATTGCACAGAACGACACTCCAACGTTAAATTCGCCCGATTGGACTGATGTTTTTCGGCATTTTGTCGAAGTGTGTCTCACAAAAAGTCCAACTGAAAGACCAACATCCGGGAAACTGTTATCAGTGAGTTGCCCTTACGTATATCTACCGCGCGATACTTTACATCCGTATTTCTTTTTTCTTTCTTTTATTGCGTTGTATGTAATGTGTTAGTAGTAGTCTAGTTGTTCTCTTATAGGCTTTAAATTTTACAGCATCAATTTGTCACCAGACCGCGTTCTCCTCAAGTTTTGATAGATTTGATACAGAGAACGAAAGCTGCTGTCCGGGAATTAGATAATTTGAATTATCGTAAAATGAAGAAAATCTTGATGATCGACGCGTGCGAGACCGAGAGCACAGTTGGTGACGCTGACGGTACGTTAACGTTATCATTAGTTAAATGTCAAACTTGGTGAGCTTTTACTATTTTTACGTCTCTTTTTTTTCGAGCCTACTAATTAAATGTGCTCTACTCATATCGCGGGATCTTGAAAACTGCAATCACTTACAGATACTCCTGATGAACAAACAGGTGGTGATAGTAGCAAGAGCAATTCAATTACCTCAGAACACTCAATTCACTCGATGGGCGTCTCAGCGAGCTCTCAAAGTTCCTCCACCAACAGCCTGCCGCTGCCGAATGCTGATGGCAATGACTATTCTTCGGGTTCTGTCAGAAATCGGCATAAGGTCTCAGCAGGTGGTGTCACTGCCAATCTTCTTGAACACGGTGCCAATAATTTTGCAACAATTAGGACAACTTCAATTGTTACGAAACAACAAAAAGAACATATGCAAGAAGAGATGCATGAACAAATGAGTGGATATAAACGAATGAGAAGGGAACACCAAGGTGCTTTGGTAAGAATTTAAACTTTCTAGTATTATGGATTGTGTAGAGAAATAACTTGATTATGATTCA